TATTATCGGCCACGCCGATATCTTTTTGGCGTATGGTCGGAGTATGCGGGGTGAAGCTGGGCCCACGGCGGAGCCCAAAATTTTGAAGGGTGGCAACGCCAGACATGCGATCCACGGCGCCAAAAGCGGCGATTGCTATTGGCCGCCCGTTTCGCTCTTAAAGGGAATACGAGGAGAGTGGATCGCATGCCCTTGGATATGCCCTTGGCCTTCATTTGGGCCGTTGACCCAAAAAAATGCAGCTGTGCAGATGAGCAGCAACGGTGCCCGCCTCGCAAATGTATGCGTGTGCCGAAATTCGGCACCGATGGTGTGGCTGCCAAAAATGTCGAGGAGTTCGATTTGTTCAGCGGTTAACGGCGGGCGTGCCAGCTCGAAGTGAGATAAAAGTTGGACATTGCATTTCTGCTCGACAGAGTAAAAATTTTTTTCCCTTCTGAAAAATTAAGCCGGCACATAAAACCAATGGCTTAACAGACGAATAAAAGTTTTGTTTTTGTGTTCTTTGCCATGTAATAAATATATATAAATCAAACCGCTCGAGTCACAAAGAAAAATATAATAAAAAAATTTAAAGAGACTTAAAACTTAAGTGCGACGAGAGACGGACCAGATAAGCCAAAAATTAACGGCTCCGGCACCAAGGAGACCAGCTCGCGCACCAGAGAGGCCCACGAAATATTCAAGGCCAGGATTCAGTGCAGCGGCGCAAACCAGCCATATCCGCGACGCCGCCAGCAAGCGTCGGCGCAAACGTGAAGGCGACGAGACGAGCCACCAACGACCGGGCTCCAACAACGAAGAAGCGGCCACAGGCGAGACCCCGCCCACATCCACCGAGTGAGTCCGTTCCATTGTTTTGCCCATCCTCGTTCGAGCCCCTGGCCGAGTCAGAAGAAGACTCCTAATTGCACTCCCTGAAAAGGAGTAGATTTTTTTTATCGTTAAATTTGGTTAATTTGTATTTATAAAATATATTCATACATACATAGGCACTTACGCCGAGCTTCACTTTAGAGTGCGAGCGGTGAGGAAAACTCCAACGGTGATGCATCTGCGCCTGTAAAATATAAAAAAAAAATCTAAAATTAACTCTTGCGCGAACTATGCTCACATACTTACCTAATTTGAATTTACGCATTTATATCGCCCCTTACCACCCCCAGAGAGCTCTTTAGGTAGGGTAAGGTAGAATTAAGCGATTTAATACATACAATACACAATACGTGACATACCCAGTTTTAAGTAATTGTGCGGGCCATTGTTCCTAAATCGGGGCAACGATTGCCTCTAAAGTGCCTCATTGCGCGTTTCTTTTGCGGCGACTAGCAATATCCTTGTAGTGTTTCGTCGCCTGTTCCATTCAGTGTTGTAAAAAAAATAAAAAAAAATTAATTCTATAAGATAAGAGAAAAATTTAGGAATTAATGCGCTGTGTCAATTAGTATAAATATATGCAGCAGTAATACGCACCTGTGAAGTTAATGAATTATCCGCTTGCATGAGATCCTAAACAGCTGCAAGATAAATGCCATAAGCAATGATTATGATTGTTATACATTTTAAGAAAACGCAACCAATTATACGCACCTATTGAAAGAAATCATGTCCGGCTAAAATAATATTGCTGGGGAGAGTGGGCATTATGGCCGACACGGGCTAATATAGGCCATTTGGTGGCCAAAATGAGGGAGACGAGTGGAGGTGATCGTCTCATGGTAGGGCGGGTACGCTGGGTCCGGAACCGGGGCCCGATCTGGAAGAGTAAGGTGGATAAATAGTGTTTTTTTGTTAATTTATATTGAGTGTCTTACCTTTGTTGTTTACATTTTCATAGTTACAGCTGTGTATTTTGTTCATGAGTTAGTAGTTCCGAATATTTGTTATCGATTATGCGGTTCATTTTGAGTAGTGTTGTGTGAGTCTGTTTTGCTACAGACGTGTAGCTTTGTTGTTATCGATTGTGCGGACTGCGGGCCAGGGATGGGACCACACCCAGAGAATCCGATGAGCCAGCCGGCGCGGCCCACTGAGAAACAAGCAGTTCCGTAACATGTTATGGATTGTTGCCCTCTGAATATGCGAGCATATTGTTTTCGGCTTGCTGCCGCCATTACTTCAGCCTCTTGCTCATTACTTTCGTGAGTCGCAGGAGGAAAGACTGCAGTAAGATTTTATGGGAATATAATCTATGTTTTAACATATATAATATTGCAAAATGTAAAAAATGCGGCCAGCGCGTTTTTCTATAAGAAAAAACATTTCACACATCTTTCAAAATTTCAAATTTTTGAAAAATGTTTAAATTCACCCCGAACATTTAGTATTTTTGCGACGGTTAATCGAGATTTCTATCGATGTTGTGAAAAATGGTAAAGTATCATAACCATAAGCAGCTGATATATCAACGAAGGTAAGTGGCGGTTTTTACAATTTAAACATGGCGAAATCTCGAAAAGAGTGCCTAATATGGAGCCCTTACTTCGAAAGCGCAATTTTTGAGTTTTGGAAGAAAAACTTTACGGCGCTTACGTAAATTAAAGTAACTCGATCAGCTTTTTATTTAAAAAGCGGTATTTTTGCCACTCACATGTTACCAACAACCGGTGGAACACCAATATGTGAATTTTGAAAATTTGACATTTCTTAAACTAGTGGACAGAGGCTATAACACTACTGCGCACAATACGCTAACATAGGGCTTAACAGCCGACTGGCGTAAAATTTACAGTGCTCAAATTGCAACACCACCTTCGTATGGCACTCGTCAGTAACTATTTACTTCGTTACTTACAGCTACTCTGATTAATCTAAGCTTAAGTACCGGTAAACATAACGACAATATCGAAGGTTACAATATTAAGCATTTACAATGTTTTGGTGTGATAACACAAGCTTTAATGTTTCGATAATAGAACTTTTATCGCTGACGTAATGTGACTGTTTTTTTTTTTTTGCCAAAGTGCGGGAAGATCCAAAAATTACTCTCACACTGAGAACGGTGGTTGCGTCGTTTTGCAAGCTATTAATATTTGCCATGATTGGCCCTTTGATAATAAACCCAATCATTGAATTATTCTAAGAATGCGTTCACAAAAACTATAAATGTCAGAAGTTGGCGGACGCTGAAGATGTCTATTTCTTTTGTAACATATAGGTAGTTTTATAGCACATGACCAACAATTCTCTTTTAATACCCTGAACCCATTAAAAATGGATATAATGGTATTTTGTATTTGTGCAAAATCTAAATGTATGTAACAGGCAGAAGGAAGCATCTCCGACCAAATAAAGTATATATATTCATATATTCTTCTTCTTCTGTCTGTCCGTCCGTCCGTATGTATGATCGATAAAAATCGATAGCCCAAATTTACGCACCCATTGATAAAAATATTTCTGTCTCACGACCAACCATTGATCAGCTCATTCGCACACATTTGTGAGTGTCTGTTTGAGTGTGTGTGTGTGCGCAGGGCTCGAAATTCACAAATGCCAAAAACATAAAATTTTATCAAATTTGCATCGGGCAGCCAGGCAGGCAGGCAACCGACATGCACACGAACGCATTAATGCCTCCATCCATTTAGAAAAGTGTGTAACTGTGCGTGGTTGGCCGGCCCAAAAAGTTATCATGCACACATGCCAACTTTTAACAAGCATGGGAAACAGCTATTTGCACATGATCATGCCAAACCCTTTAATAATATCACACAACTGCTTACTCAAAAGAGTGTGCGTGTGCACAAGCAGCAAGTTGCAAAAATGGAACATTGGAAATTTTTGACCTTTTCTGAAAATTCTTACAAGCCGACGATGAATTACCTTTGCAGAAATACGACTTAGATATTTTTGAATTTTAAGCATATTAGGTCCCTACAGTAAATAGAAAATAAATTTAAATATTTCATTTAGGTCAATTAATTGTGTATTAAATAAAATTAGATCAAATTCTTCTCATCATGCCTGACTGGACGAAGAAATACATAATAGAGCATTTAAATGTGAATGCCTATTGCTACCACAGGCACAAAAGGCATACAATTGAAGAAATAACCTCTGGCTCGCGACAAACGCCGCGATCTACTTGTGCGCACATCCGCACAACACAAACATAGGAATGTTTGTAGATCTCGGGGAGGGAGAAAGAGATGGCCGCAAGTGCGCAAAGCAATGAACGAGGTACATGCCTACACACATACATATGTTTTTGGGCTATAAGGACTTAAAAATGGCATACATATGTACATATATTAAGAGAACGCATCATCAGCCGCGACGTTGTGCGCTGAGCGAGATGCGGCTTCATACCGAACGTTCGGCTTTTGAGGCCGGCGTTCGGCTGCCACTCTCAGCAGTCTTACTCTGTCTGGGCACACTAAAATGGTCGCAGGTACCATTGGGGTCGCCTCGTTTCGATTTTTCTTGTTTCGATAAAAAGTTCCATTTGGTATGTCTTTACATTGTATGGTTAGTGCTTTAATGTACCCATGATAAACAAAAAATGTTGTATATTGATTCTTATCAATTTCTTGAAAATTTAGCGAGTTATCGGTGATTGTATATGAATATGTTCTTTATGGGTTCGATGATGCCTCGCTCTGCCTGTTACATTAATTTGAGCAAAGCCATTTTTATAATTATTTTGACCCATATATAATGAGTTCAATTTAAAAAACGACTACACTTCAGTTGCACAAAACCTCGATTCCTGAAGCTCTGCGTTAGGTTATAGGGATATAAATATATATGTATATAAATATGTTAATACTGATATATTACACCATATATGTTTATGTTTTTATATAATTATCGATTACTTTTCCACATATGTATGTATATAGAAGAGTACTTTGATTTCAATTATAGTAAATAGTGACGCTATGTTGTTATAGGCAATTATCCACAGAATCGTCGATTTTGGCAATTCCGTTTTATGAAATAATCGAAAATCAACATTGTTATACAACTCTGGTATACGTATTTAATCATATGTATGTAAATTTGTATTAAATACTTTTTTTTTATTTAATTTGTATAATTGATATTGGAGCAATCTCATAATCTATCCAAATTAAATAATGGTATGGTATAAGATACTATGAATGTGTTTTAAAATATTATAAAAGTACCTACGTTAGCTTGAAACAAAGTTTTTAAATCATTTATGTGTAAGTAGTAGCATTTACAAATGATTAAATTGGCATGATTTGTCAAATAACAATATTTTTATGTACATAGGTTGTCAATATTTCCAAGCTTCATATAAATATACGTATGTGTGGATATATATGTACATGTATATTGTACATTATGGATATATACACTCGTATGTATGTAAATTTATTGCGGAATGTACATTAACGGCGATGAATATACATATTTATAAATAATATATAAATAGCTAATCTAATATAGCGCCACTCGTCAACAATTCAAATATAATTAATTCCAGGAATTTATTACATTAGTATTTTGTGTATATTTATGTACGTGTCGGCAGACTTAAGTGCAAACCATTGTTCGAAGAGGTCACATGAATCTTTTATGCACATAAGTTTGACTTTGCATACAAAAGATGCATGAAAATGACTGAATTCACTAAAATTAATTAACTGTGAATATATCTGTAAAAATTGATATATATTTCAATTACATATATACTATACTACGTACATACATACATACATATATACTAAACGTTGCCCGTGGCAAGTTTTGTGCCTTAAATTCTAAATGTAATATCAACTATTTCCAGATCGTGGAAAATATAAATATAATCTTACTATCTTGAACTTCATGTCTTAAGCTATTCTTTAAATAGATAGTTCAAATTCAGTTTAAAGTTCATCGAACAAAGAAAGAAAGTTTAAAGTAGGTGTGAGAATCTTTATGCCAAAAATAAACTTTCGTTCAATAATCCTTTGACCTTCACTTTTCATTCAAAAGGGATGGATTTTGCGAAGAATGTGAATCACTTATCAGATGAATTTTGCAAAGATCTTTCAAAATGATTTTAAAGCCGATTAGATAGTCAACAATAAATTTCCATGCATCCGTTTTCCGCCCATTTATCACAGTTGCGGGGATTTCCAAAATCTTACCAACATATTAAGTTCTTACGAAAAGTTCTTTGAAAATAAGTTTACAGTTTCGCAAAAAATGTTCGTATCGAATGCTCCATCAAGGAAGCTTGGATTCTGCGAAATAAATTTTCATGGGTTAACTGAAAATTTAATTGGAATAAAAATCTATGAAAATGAGTTTGAGGATTAGGTGGTTTTCTACACTTACGGATGAAATTTCCCAAAACGCTGTCTTAGCGAATTTCGAATTCGTAGCTCTTCAGTCGGTATTATATTAGTGACTTAACACCCGGTATTTGGGAAATTTGCTACAAATAAATTAAAAACTGCTTTCATTTATTTTATAGCATCCGATTGTCTTAACCCGTAAAAAATCCGTGTGTGTACAAATGCATTTAAAAAGGGATTTATTACCGTAACATAATCATTTTCAGGGGCTAAAAAAATGTCATGAATGTTGTTATCCTGTCGGTTTTCACACAGTTCTAGAGATATGGACCCTACATATGAAATCTTGATAATATTATGCGCCGATCACTTTATTTCAAAATATTGATATCAGGCGTTTCCTTAAATCACTAACCAAACAACATATAGACTAGACATGAGTACAAGAAGTAGACACAAAATGTATCGGTGGCATCTGGTCCAAACTCCCGAGTAAGCGAGTAAGATAACATATGATGTATTTTTGAACCGCTTACTCTACAGGAAAGTGCTTGGCGCACTCCCTTCCATATGATTTGTGCGATAGAACGGCAACGCTGTTAACTTTTATCTCGCTCGCACTTACTCTCAGCTCTCAATGCTTTCTCTATGTTTAGGGATCGTTTCATCAAAATCATTAAAAAGAAGGGCGCGCGTCAGACACGTGCCAATAATGTATTTTCTTTTGCGCCCATGATCAGCCCATTCACAGACATTTGTATGTGTGTCCTAAAATCTTGTTAAAGTTGCATCGGGGACAGGCAGGCAGGCAAGCAACAGGCACACAAGCGCATAAATGCTTATATTCATATACAAAATATGCAAGTATGCGTGAATAGCGAGTCCAAAATATTTTAAATGCACACATGGCAACGCTTGGGTACGCTTACCAACGATAACGAGCTAAAATGCAAGAATTTCGCATCAACGTGGCAAACCCTTTCTCTATTTCTTATTAGCCGTGCCTTCAAAAGGGTAGAAATGCCTCAGCATTTGGGAAAAATTGAATTTGTGCGCAGTTTTGCTGGCCGGACAAATACACACACACACACATTGAAACTATCGCTAAACATAGAGAGAGCATTGAGAGCTGAGAGTAAGTGCGAGCGAGATAAGAGTTAACAGCGTTGCCGTTCTATCGCACAAATCATATGGAAGAGAGTGCGCCAAGCACTTTCCTGTAGAGTAAGCGGTTTAAAAATACATCATATATATATCTTACTCCCCTTACTCGCGATTTTGGACCAGATGCCTCCGATACTTTTTGTGACAACGCTGTTTGTATGGGATTTCCAGTCTATATGTTGTTTGATTAGTGCTTAAATCTAGAAGTATCGATATTTCGTTACATTGCACTACAAATGTTTCACATTTTGATCACTTTGCTTAGTTCCTTAGAAAATTAAATTGGTGGTCTTTCATTTTTGTTTGTGCAACTGTATACAGTCTGACGGGTGCCGCAATGATACACTAAGTTTGGTGATTCAAACCCGAATATTAATAATTATAGGAACGATGTTCTCATTTTGATTCAATCTTAAAAACGGCAGAATGCTGACCCAACGCCTCGTGACTACTTCTGGATGGTCACTCAGCGCGCGCATGCGAGGCATTCGGATTTCGTCGCTGTAGCCGTTGACCGGCAGCAATGCAAAGTCAACGAATATCAGCGGCCAATGCAGCTACTTACTTTCTAGCGATGGCATCCGGTACTTCGGCGGAATGGGCAGACGTCGATTTGTGGGTGTTAACTTACATACATGAGGACTCTAATATTAGCTCTAAATTTTTGGTGGACAGACAATAAATACGAGTTTAAGATTACATTTCTAAGAGTATGAAGCTGGGAAATGAAGCACACCGTCTGTGTAAAATGTGCAGATCCTGAAATATTTTTGTTTATTTTTTTCTTAGCGTACTGCCTTCAACATGGGAGCTGCACATTACTTTAAATGTGCGGAAGAATGCATTATTATATATAGTATATATTTTTAATGATTTTTTATTGTTTGTTTTGCGACTTATACCTTTTATCAATATTTGTTTAGCTTGGTCGAGGTCCGCGGTTTTATTAAGAACAAAAATAGAACACACCCAAGTAAACCCATCTTGTACATCGGCAACCGTCTTCAAGGCACTAACACCAAGACAAACAAAGCAATTGACATGAAGATAAATTAAATTAACATTAAATTATTAATATTAAATTAAATTAACATTAATTAAAACATTTTACATACAAGTCTTCTTAACGTGGACACTGTTTGGCTATTCAATAAAAAGTAATTTTCAGAGTCAGTGTTGTAGTTTAGTCGTTGATTGTTTGAAGTGCTATCATGTGTAGCATTTCCAATGTCGTTTGTTGTAGTGCCGTTCTTTCTGTTTATTATTTTATCAAAGTTTGGTGTGTGGTTGCCTTTCATACAGTGGGTCATCAGTTATTTTCTTTGTATACAAATTTTTTGTTTTAAATTGAAGTCTCATTTCTGTTGGGAATGTCCGTGCACACGTTAGTGGACTTATTTTTATTGTCCCCGAAATATTGTATTTTGTAAAAAACATTACTTTTGTATATAGTTGGTATTCTTGTTTTTACATTGTTGAAAACTTGTTAAGTATTTATATGTGTGCAACTTTGTATCTTGTTTTTTGTACCAATCTAAGCTTACGAGGCATTCTTATAAATTACAGGGTTCTGTAGGGTTAAATGTTTCTCGATCGGATCCCCATCATACGCCCCCCATCATCAATAATTCTCTAATTAGCTACTACGAAACATTCGTATCGTTTAACGTGATATCCTTGTTTCCCAGTATCAATGGAACTGCCAGTGGACACAATAAAACGAAAATGGACAAAACAACTTAAGAACACATATGCATTCAAGAAAACCGGTACTTTGAATACGAAGACAAAATATATATACAATTATATGAAATGCCAATGGGATTGCCGGTAATTGCAGACATAATAATGGAATAACTTTTAGACAACATTTTCCTATATTTTCATGTTAAACAATTAAACATTACTAATAACCCACTGTATAAAAAGCAACGGCACACCAAACTTTGATGAACCGACAATAATACAGAAAAACCAGCACTACAACAAACGACATACATTGGAAATGTAACACATACTAAGTACACCAAACAACAAACGACTAAACTACAAAACAAACTCTGAAAATTACGCTCACTAGTACAAACTCTTATTGAATAACCAAATAGTTTCAATCTCCGTGTCAAGAAGCACCGACATGTAAAATATTGTATGTCAAATGTTTTATTGATTGTTAAAATTATTTTAATGTCAATTGCTTTTCTCACTTGGTTTAGTGACCTTAATACGGTTGCCGATGCGCAGCACGTGTTTCCTTGGGTGTGTTCCATTTTAGTTTTTAGTAAAACCGCGAACCTCGAGCCAGCTAAACAAATATTTGTATATATGTTTTATTAGCATCAACGGACGTATTGGTTGATCAAGCAATATCGGTCCTTCTGTCCGTCCGCCTGGGTGAACTCGTTATCATGAAACTTTAACGGCTAAATGTACCTGGTTTGAGATATATATTCGTGTATATAATACACAGATCAGGTTTATTTCAATAATTTTAATTTTCAGCGCAAGTTTTTAAAGATATGATGGAGGTTGTGATGGTAAGAATTTTTAAATTTATTGTAGGTTTGCTTTTTTAACCCAACAAAAGCCTAATGAGAGTGCTCTAGCCGGTAGTGCCCGACTAAGGGATACCCAGAAGCTTGTCCACCCAAATGTCGAACCCGCAACTACCTTAAACCGACCAATTTCCTGGCCAGTTGAGCATTAAAAAAAAAATGCATTCAACACAATTTCCAACGTGACATGTGGCCTTC